ACACACACACACACACACACACACACACACACTTTAATTCTTTATTTTTATTGCTGTAGTTTTCTTTCATCTTTTCTTTTTCTCCAGCTCCCTCCCCTCCTGACTCTAAGCCACAGCCATGAAGCACCAAGAACCTGCAGGTATCTTCTCAGAACCCAGACTCTTTCTGGTTAAAATTTCAGACGACTCTTCCCAAAGCCCTGTCTTCGTACTGTCACTGCCTCGCTCAAAAGCAGCGAGTGGCATGGGTACCACTCCAGCCTCATCAGACAAGTCCATTAGCTGGTATTCCAGGCCCCTGCTTGTGGCACTGGCCTCCCCAACCAGTGTGAGCTCCAGCCCTGCTCCTTACACGAGCCTGCTGGGTTTTCCTGCCTCCCTGTGTATTTTCTCTCCTCCTGTCCAAATCCAGCTCATTCTTCTGTTCTAGTTTACATCCCACCTTCCTCCCAAAATCTCTAATGAACACTCTAGGCTTATTGATATCTCCAGGGTTTTTTGTTTGTTTGTTTATTTTATTTTATTTTATTATTATTTCTTTTTTTACAATTTTTACTGTACTCGAAGCCTATACAGACCGTTGTCCTGGTCCCACAGGCTTGCCTCATACTCCTCCATCTGGGGCACATTGAAAAAACCCTCTATACACACTTGATTCAGTGACACTAACAAATGGGACTGAATTTCCTTCTAAACTGAGTGATACGATCTGTGCTAGATGTTTACTTCTTAAAATGCAGACTATTGGACTGGGCAGGAAGACTGCAACACATCATCACGTATACCTAACCCTCTCCCATTATCAAACATCGCGTTGCTCCCTTGGCACCAACTCAGACTTAACTATTACACGGTTGGCCCTTGTGTGATGCCCTCCCCAAACCACAAGTCCCCTGTGTCCTGAGCGCCAGTGAACTCCACTAGCTTTTTCTAAGCTTTCTACAAGCATGGGAGATAGAACTGTAGCTCAGTGTGCTCTGGGATGGTGTTTGGGTCTGTTTGTCTTGAAGGGCTTCTTTTTAGTGACTCATGTGTGTATGTGTGATTTTTTGATTTGGTTTTTTGTTTTTTGTTTTTTGTTTCTTTTTAACTAAGGATTTAAATAACAAACAGTAGCCAGAATATAAAACATAATTTCTTTCAGAAGTAGAAATCAGCAGTTATTTCTGAACAGTTGCAAGTGGAGAATCAAGTCACGTATTATGATTCACTGATTCTGTTTTGACCTGAATTTTGCATGTAGGATTCTCGGGCTCTTCATCCGTGGCATCGAAGAAAACAGCAGGTCCAAGCGGGAGGGGCTGTTTCACGAAAATGAATGTATTGTAAAAATCAACAACGTGGACCTCGTAGACAAAACCTTTGCTCAGTAAGCGTTTTTCCTTATTTTATTTACTTTGTGATTCTTGTAATGCTTATAATCATTACTGAGCTCATGATGATAAAAATGTAGGGTAGAACTTGTGGTCAATTCCCTTTGACCCCAAAACATCCATTTTCACATGCATCCTATGATTGAGCATCCTCAAAGGTGGCCTGCACATGTCCCTGACAGCCCAAGAATGGCAGACCGCAGACAGAGCAAGCCTTCTGCCTGGTTGTCTTTCTGGGGCACCGAGAGATGGGCTTGTTTTTCTTGGGATACGGGTCAGTTAGACTGGTATTTAATGACTCTTTTCACAGGCTGTTAGTTCAGCTTATTAGTTAACTTCCTTGGTGTCAGCCATCTTCCTTAAGCTAAATATCTGTGAGAGATGTCTGTGAAGACTCACTGAATAATAGAAACAAAGG